CAATCCAACCGGCCAGAGGAGCATGAAAGGAATGAAAGACATCTCCGTGACATTTCAGTCAGTGTTTGGAGAGACACAGGCCGCCTTTTTCTGCAAGTTCCTGCAGCGCGTTTGGCTCCAGTTTAACTCTGGAGACATGAACAGGGGCGGACATGGACGCCTCCCTTTACCAAAGAACTGCTGAGTTCAAGTTAAAGGTGCAGCGTGTGGCACTGAGGAGGATCTATTGGTAGAAATATAATAATCATTAGTGTGGAATCACCGGAATATAAGGAACCATTGTGGTTTTGTTGCCTTAGAATGAGTCTGCCATGTTTCTACTACCCACTGGCTCTATATAGGGCCCTGCACACTTTACAGCCTGTTCTCATTCCCAGGTCATTAAATACAGACGCGAGAGGTGTTCAGTTAGCTGCAGTCTGAGGTTTCACCACTAGATGCCACTAAATCCTTCACACTGGTCCTTTAAAGGGGCGGGTTCAGAATTTTTCAAATGTATTTTAAAGTCCAGGTGGAATTAAAAATGTCATTTTAACGCTTTAAGATTAAATCTTCAGTTATATTGTTCCCATATTTAACAATTTATGTACAAAAAATTTACAAAAACTCAATTTCTTTGTATTTTTATATCAGAATAATCTTGTCTTCCTGTAAAGCTAAATGTCAAGAGTGCTTACGTAAGAATGAATTAACCGGTTTCAATCGTGATTTGGGTGACTCAGGTTTCAAACTGAATTGCACCTATAAACGACGTTTACTCATCAAACAAATGTTTCCCTCTCACTGGGCAGATTGCCAATCATTGTGTAGGATAAATGGGTGGTACCAGGGTGGCCCTGTGCCGCCTTCTGGACCCGCCCCTGCTGGTTTATTCAATATTTACGTTTCATCCTTTAACAAACACCACCGGCTCCAGAAAAAGAGTCCATGAGTTGAAGGTTTTGACCAGTTTAGATCAGTCAGTGTCATCAGAAGTGTCTTAAACCTGCATTCTGTGTAACAGTCAGCAGGGGGCAGCTACACTGGTTGCAATAACACACAGATACCATCCAGTCTTATGGGGAAATGAGCCGACTTCTCAGTTGATTTAGGAGCTCAGTAAACAGTTTCCTGATGAGTTTATGGTCTCAATCTTCTATACAGCATGATGTTTATTTAGTAAATGATGGTCAGCTTTGCTTTGGTAAAACTAGAGTGAATATCAAATATCTTTTGCAGTGTAAAATAAGTTTGTTAAGTTGGGAAGTTATAGATGGATTTAGTTTTCACACGTCCTCAGGTATTGGATAACTTTTTTAAACAACCAGCAGATTGTGATGCTTTGAAAATGAATTGAACTACATTTTTAATAATTGGGTCGATTTGTGGCGCTTTATGTGACCTCTGCAGTTGTGTATCTGACCTGCTGCTGATGTTCTGACTCTGAAGCTGTTCTGGGTCGACTAAGAGGCTGTTGTTTGGGTGGTCTGTGTGCCTTAACCACTCTGGTTAATGCTCAGTTATGGGCTCACACTCACATATCGCACATGGTTTTCTGTCTGCTAGATACTTGTTGTGGTGGAAAAAGCTGCAATTATTTTCATTTTAAACTCACTATGAATTATGTCTGTGTGTCGGTAATTACAGGGTTTTTACTCTGCCACAGCTTATAGTCACACAAACACCTTTTTTCATTCATATGAGATGTGTGACTGTGATCCTCTGCGAGCTCTGGATGAATTAATGTTCATTTGAAGAATGATCAAATTAAATCTGATTGAAACTTTGAATTCTTGTCTTTATAAAGGTTGAAAACAACAGATTTAACTCTGCAAATAACTCCAGGATTTAATCATCACAAAGTCAAATATGTTGAATTTTAGAAATAAATATGAATGTTGTCAATAAACCAAAACAAAACCTTCCATCTGTTGAAGGGAAATACACAATATACAACACCAAGTTTGAACAAAGTGTGTCTTTACACGCCAGCTCCACTGACTCATCAGCTTCAGTCGTCACAGATTATGAAATGAATTCACACTCCAGCGCTCCATTTAGCAAATACTGAGCCCGTCGCCGTCGTTGCGGGCTCGCATCCAAAGGTGACCGCATCCAGAGAACCCTTGTCCTGGAAGGAGTCGCCCGAGGAGCTTAGGCTGGCAAAACCGACAACATTGCTGAAATTACTTCTCCGCAGTCGAGCTTTTACATAAGATTTACTGCATTTGATTCCAGAGTGGAAACAATTAGCAGATTAATCGGCCATTTTTTAGCTGCCAGACTCTCAAATGTGAAGATTTGCTGCTATTCTCTCTTTTATAAGAGTCTAAACTAAATATATTTAGGTTTTGAATAAAGAAAGGACTTTTTTCTGTTGCCAAAACTGGAATAAATGCACAAAAATACAGTAGTTTGAATGATTTAATATGATTACAGGATCTGGATACATTTGCATAAACTTTGGTTACATTGGGTCTTTACAGATTATGGTTCTTTTTGTCCAGTAAAAACTATTAATCCAGGAAATAATCATTAGTTGCTTCTTCTAGGGTCTAATAACTCATATTCTAGACAATCAAACAAAAGACAATCATTATTCTTTGCATTGAACCTTATTTTATCAAACCTTTACAGTTTTCTGAAGACAGAGTTGCAATCTCTGCCAGAAGAACCCGCTCAGATGTCGTCTCATTAAAGAGAAGAAGAAATGCCACAGCGGGCTTTAAACTGCATTCTTGAAAGCAGTTAATTGGCACCACGCTGATGGACGACCGTGGCTCATTTCACCAGCGCATAAGTGTGTGTGTGTGAGATCGTATCCCTGGGTCATGTGTACATATTGAAACACGCAGCAGCTGGAGCCTCTCATTACTTTATGCTCATATTTTGAATTCCATGCTGTAAAGACTGTGACGTCGAAGGCTGAAAGTTGAGCTTTTATTGTGTAAGAAATGTCTTTTCGAACAAGAAGGAGGACATGTGGGAAGGTAGCAGGGTGTGGTTAACATCCTGGAGGTGTGAAAGGTGGAAAGCTTCCTGGGCACCAGAGCTACTAAACGTGTGTGTTTATGAGCTGCTAGAAGCCGAGTGGGAGGCGGCGAGCAGCTCTTAGAAGGAGGGCAAAATGGTTCCACCTTCAGCCCCCTCCACTGCAGGGCTGGGCAACCATTAGAAAGGTAGAGGCAGTGCGTGCCTGCTGGAGGCTGGGAGGAGGCTGGGCGAGAACACAGAGAGAGGGAATGATGGTGGTGGTTGTGGGGGGGGGGGGAAAGTAGGTCAGAGATACAGAAGCAATCAAGCATG